AGGATGTGTGTTCGTGCTCATTGACTTTGGAGGGAAAGTAGAAAATTTGATGGGAAACCAAAGCTTGAATCCAGGCTGACCAGCTACAGTCCTGAAGTGTGATAGGATGTTGATTTTTGCCATAGCTCAGCTTTAAATTTTTTTAAAATTAGGGGAAACGGGCCCCCCCTGGGTGAGAAAGCCCCCCCCCCCCCATCTGGAGAGAGTCTTCCGGTGTTTCACGTGTCAGTCAGGTCTTGTCGGAATTAATATATAATGTACAGGCTGACCTTCCAGGACTGTCCCTGGGGGGTCCTGATCCTGAGGTGGATGGGGTAGGGATAAAGTTACACGTTATTTGTTATGATTGTTGCCTGATTGTTGTGATCTCGCGAATTCTCTGCAATGATTAATTTGTGAATTTTCATTAGGATTCATACTTTAACACCTTGCTTGTTCTGCCCAGAGTCACGTAACTGTAACAGAGCTTGGAGTCGGCCCCCTTTGTGACGGCGCGTTTCCCTCCCCAGGTCAGTTCCGCGAGTTCGGCGGGGCCCGCTGTGTACACAACATCGTGAAGTACCGGCAGTGCCGCGAGCACGCCTTGATGATCATCCAGCAGCTGGTGCTGTCCCCGAGCGGCGAGGACGACATGGGCACGCTGCTGGGCCTCATGCACTCGGCGCCCCCCACGGAGCTCCAGCTGAAGACCGACATCCTCAGGGTAAGCGTCTGACCTTGCAGGTGTGCTTCCATCACCCAGAACTTCAGGCGGCCATCTTTCCGCAGGGCACACCTTGACTTAAAAACTTTGTGCGTGACGGTGCCGGTGTGGGAGCAGCTCTGAGCCCAGGATGGGAAGGTCGTCACTCTTCCCATGGCTGGAAGGTGGCATCACTGTTGGCCCTTAACCACAACTGCTTCAGGGACACTGGCTGACCTTTATCTTTGATCCTTATGAGTCACTTTGGGCAAAAAAAAATTTCTAAATAAATGCAAAGGAAAACAGTGGGAGTTGGGGTCAATTACAGCATAGAGTTGAGTCCCCCTCCCCCAGCAAATGCCTACATGTAGCCCAAAGTCTGACCCCAAGTCTCATTTTTGTTTCTTGGGCCCAGACTGTGTTGCTTTTTAGAGTTTTTTTTTATCCCATACTGTCCAGTGACTGAGACGTTCTTTCATCCCAGTTGGTTATTTCAAACCCAGTCCACTCCCATACCCAAATGAAGTCCTTGGTCCCTCCTCCTATGATTCTGCTCTCCCCCCCCCACCTGAAGCCAGCCCTTTATGATAATTCTTAATCTGTGTGGAAGCCTTGCTTTCAGATCATTAGAGTCACCACCAATTTTCTCCTCTTTACCAGTCCCTGCAAGCACATACCAGTACACGTGTATCACTGCTATTATGGCAGAATTCTATATAGATGTTCGGATTTCTTAGAAGATGAAAGTCTGCCATTCATGTAGGAGTGGAGGTTCCTGGTAGGCTGAGCTGGTCCATGATAGCAAGGACTGAGAGACTCCTGCCTTTATGTAACGTTCGGCAAACTGTCAGTCTTCAGAAACTCTCTCTCAATCGTTTTAATGTGCACTCTGCGTGCCCTTCGGATTCATTAGACAGTTAAAAGCATAATCGTGACCCCGACTGGATATTTCTGAAAGCCCTGGCCATTATTTTTAAGTGAAAGTGTCAGAGGCGACGGAAACTTGCATTGCTTCGGAAAGACCTCGTTTACAGACCAGTAAACATCAGTGTGAAGCAGCACTTTTTAAATATAGGTACATTTATTGAGAGCAAGTTAATTACATTTATTCATTTATTTGTTGCTTTTATCCAAAGCTACTTGCAATAGAGGGGTTACATTTTTTTTATGTGCGTGCTTCCTTTTCAGTTTTAATGAATTGTTTGTGAAAACTTGATATCTTAGTTGATGAGCAGATTTCCAAAACTCATTTCACGGATATGTGGACAGGATATTTTGGTAAGTATGCACCATTTTAGTGGACTTAGTGATTTTTGGAAATTTAACAAAAGCTCTTTGTTGGATTACATGAGGACTGAGTGAGTTTGGGCTCCCAGCACTGTAACTTATAGGAAGCCTGACTTTGCATCATTGACGGTCTCATCTCAGAGACAAAAAACAGACCGAGTGAGTTTTGGAAATTTTCTCTTTAGTTATGTGATTTAGTTAGTAATTTCGTAATTTTAAAGTCTTGGGCCTGTACCTGATAACCTACTGGTTCCTCATGCTCACTGGTCACATGCTGCTTCTCCGGCAGGCCCTGCTGGCGGTCCTCAGGGAGAGCCACCGCACGCGCACGGTCTTCCGCAAAGTGGGCGGCTTCGTGTACGTCACCTCGCTGCTGGTGGCCATGGAGGGTTCCCTCTGCGCGTTGCCCCGGAACGGCTGGGAGAAGGCCAACCAGAAGCAGGTCTTCGAGCTGCTGCACACGGTCTTCTGCACGCTGACGGCCGCCATGCGCTACGAACCCGCCAACTCGCACTTCTTCCGCACGGAGATCCAGTACGAGAAGCTGACCGACGCCGTGCGGCTGCTCGGCTGCTTCTCCGACTCCAAGAAAGTGGGCCGAGCCGCCGTGCTGCCCTCCAACTCGCAGCCGTTCCAGAGGCTTCTGGAGGACGACGCCGTGCTGGTGGACAGTGTGTGTCCCACGCTGAGGCACTGTAGCAAACTCTTCATTTATCTATACAAAATGGCCACCGACTCCTTCGACAGGTAACGCTCTCACGCCTACTACAGTAGAAGCTTTTGTTTCCTTTTATTTCTTGTTTCTCTGGTCTTTTTTCCCCCCTTACTGATTTATTTTCAGGATTCTGTTAACATCAAAGAGTGCAATTAAGCAAGAAATGCGGACACTGCTTCACGTAAGCCAGGCAAAATAAATGCGCTCTGCGTTTTTTGAATGAGGGTTAAACAAAGGATCTTTTGTCCGCATTAAGGGAGCGAATGCGTCTCCGCATTGTTGTGTTTCTCTGCTGATCCGCCTCAGTATTAGTCATACGGCTATTTGGGCAGATTTAAGAGAATTGTCATTCCTGGCAACACTTTGGAGTGGCTCTGTTTATGGCAAGTTTTCTGGTTATATGACAAAGTGAGAAACACTGAAGAGAATGGAGGGCTTGATTTTAGTGGAAAAATTGCATGCAGACGTTTTATGAAATCCCATTTGGAAGCTGAATGTGTTCCATCGTAAGCGGTGGCATTGTACGATCTTACAGAGTCACGGCTGACCCTCTCCTTCCCACAGTCGTCTTTCTGATGATTTATGTGTTGTTTTTCACATTGCAATTGTACCATTCTGCTGACTTTGGGATGCTCCTGGTCCCAGTTAAGCAGTAGAGGGCTTTAAGCATGTAAATTGATAAAGTTCACCGTGTTTGTTTAGTCAGAGCAGCCAAGGTTTGTCCTCTCTGGAGCTTATGGCAGTGTGATACAGGAATACAGTAGCAGGGAGACTGGTGGGTTACCTGGTACAGTTGAGGCTCAGCATTTTATAGCCTATTAAGTCTATTATTTTGTGAATGTGCAGTCCTGCTGAGAGAAGCTTGGTTAGATACAGAAATATGATGATGAAGCGTAGCTGAGAGCAGATGTGGCAGCAAAGTCATATCTGTGCTGCTTGTTCTACCATTAAGGTAGGGCAGTGTTTCTCAGTCCAATCTGCAGTCCCCCAGACAGTCCACATTTTCTCTCCCTGCCAGCTCCCAGCCAATCAAGAACACAGAATATCTGGTACAAGTGTGTTGGAGGCTGGGAGGGAACAAAAATGTGGACTGTTTGTGGGTCCCTGCGCACCGGGTTGAGAAATACTGACGTATTAGATGAAAAGACGAGGGGATGGAATGTACAAATGTAAATGTACTTATTTTGTACTAAATGTACTAAGTGGTTTATTTCCTTTAGTGCTGGTTTTCACTATAATAACTGTGTGTGTGTGTGTGTGTGTGTGTGTGTGTGTGTGTGTGCACGCGCGCACACCCCTGCACGTGTGTATTTTACTTCAGGCATAATTATTTCATAGTTCATGCTGCAATGACCTTTTAGTTTTTTTTCTAAGAACACTGGTTGTATAAACAATAACCAACAAAAATGTTTCAGAAAATTGCTTAAATGGCAATTCTGAGAGAGAGACAAGGATGTCATTAATCATTAATTATTAATGTTTAAGCTTTATTTCATGTATTTCACAGACCTCCACTGTCCTTATCAATGTGTAACATGCTTCGCTCAGCTTGTAACACGGTGCTGAATAGGGTTGCAAAGGGCTGGAAAATTTCTGGAAATTTTCCTGAAACTTTCCGTTCCATGGGAAGTTAAGCTGGGGAATTTTGGAAATATTCCACATTAGAAACTTTCCATGGGAATTAATGGGAAAGTATGGGAATTAACAAGAATATTCCTAGAATTTTGCAACCCTAGTGCTGAAACGGAAGAGGCCCTGCAACACTATCAGCTGCCGCGAGTTTTAAGTGTGTCCTGTGTAATGGTATAAACAACCAGCTGTGAGTGTGTGTCTGTGTAATACGCTACACACACACACAAACACACACACATATACACACACTATATGGACAAAAATGTTGGGACACTGGCCATTACATCTACAGAACATCCCAGTCTAAATCCGTAGGCATCAATATGAAGTCGGTCCCCCCTTTGCAGCTATAACAGCTGCCACTCTTCTGGGAAGGCTTTCCGCAAGATTTGGGAGAGTGTCTGTGGGAATTTTTGCTCATTCATCCAGAAGAGCGTTTGAGAGGTCAGGCACTGATGTTGGACGTGAAGGCCCGGTTCACAATCTCTGGTCTAGTTTATCCCAAAGGTGTTTGATGGGGTTGAGGTCAGGGCTCTGTGCCCAGTGAGCCAGTCAAGTTGTTCCACACCAAACTCACCTAACCATGTCTTTATGGACTTTGTTTTGTGCACTGGGGCACAGTCATGCTAGAACAGAAAAGGGCCTTCACCAAACAGTTCCCACAAAGTTGGAAGCATAGAATTGTCTTGGTATGCTAAAACGTTAGAGTCCTCTTCACTGGAACCAAGAGGCTTAGCCCAGTCCCTGAAAAACAACCCCATACAATTATCCTTCCTCCACCAAACTTTACAGTTGGCACAATGCAGTCAGGCAGGTAACGTTCTCCTGGCATCCACCAAACCCACATTCATCCATCAAACTGCCAGACAGAGAAGCTTGATTCATCACTCCACAGAACACGTTTCCACTGCTCCAGAGCCCAGTGGCGGTGAGCTTTACATCACTCTACCTGACGTTTGGCATTGAGCTTGGTGATGTGAGGCTTGCATGCAGATGCTCGGCCATGGAAGCCTGTTCCATGAAGCTCCTGGTGCACGGTTTTTGTGCTGGAGTTAATGCCAGAGGAAGTTTGCAAAACTGAAGTTAAGTGAACAGTGTGTTGGTGACTATGCCCCTTGGTGCTTGGTGACCGCGCTCTGTGACTTTACGTGGTCCTGCTATTTCGTGGCTCAGTTTCTGTTGTTCCTAAACACTTTGCAATAATACCATTTACTGCTGACTGTGGAATATCTAGCAGGGAAGAAATTTCACAAACTGACTTATTGCAAAGGTGGCATCCTATGGCAGTACCACTCTTGAATTCACTGAGCTCTTCAGAGCAACCCATTCTTTCACATGTTCGAAACCTGGCTGCATGGCTAGGTGCTTGATTTTATATACCTGTGGCAAAGAGTCAATGAATTCAATGATTATGATGTGTGTCCCAATACTTTTGTCCATATTGTGTGTGTATGTGTATAAACGCACACACATATACATACAAGCATACTCACATACTGAGAAAAATAAAAATTTGATGATAACCAGTAGTCATACATTTTTTCCTTCGGTAAGGTGTGTGTTTTTCCCCTGGCTAAATTAAATTAAGTATTTATATGTTTATTGTACTACTATCATTTTGATTGTGTGGTCTTACCTACTGAGAGTGCCTACCAACAAGCCCGTCCCAGATAATTATCGGGTAACGGATTGATTTACTCAGGTTCAGTTATGGGAATGATGTTGGAGAAGGAGGCCAGTCTGACTGTTTTGTATATGTATGTGGCATTTCTATTTTTGCTTTAATTTAAAGGGAAATGTGATTTATTTCTTTGTTAAATATTTGCATATTAAATTGCAAATATTAGCTGTTAGCTGAATTTTGAAGTTCTCCAAATGTGTCTTTCGCAAAAAGGCTGTGCCATTTTCAGATTGGGGAAACTGGAGGGGAGTAAGATGAGTGTAGACTTTTCCCAGTGGCATGTGTTAGTGTGCAGGGAGGGTAGTCACGCTGAGGCACGGTCTATACGTCCACTCTAATGTGCTACACAAGGTTTTGAAATGAATATGCTGCAGTGCCTTATTCTGTGTGTGTGTGTGTGTGTGTGTGTGTGTGTGTGAGAAACATGCATGTCTCTCCTGCCCCCCGCCTGCGTCTCCCCTCACGGCCCCCCACTCACCA